TCATCAAGAAGGCCACCTTAGGATCAGTGGAGGCTAATTTATTTAGGCAAATGGGGCATCTACCCCACCAAGCTGTTTGCTCTCGGCCAGTTTAAGAAGCCTCCCTCTTTACTTACAGCCAGTCAAGGGATGGCCACTGGCTGTCAGCCCCCCCCCCCCAATCTCAGTGCTGCCTTTGTATAATTCAGCAAGGATGAGGCCCTGTCATTGGCTCTCACTCCACCTACTGTTGGCCTGCTTGCCTTGCACCCTACCTATGCCATTGAACACCAGCCACCACTGCAAGTTAGGATGCTCTCCAAGGTGCTGATGGCAACAAGTCTCTCTTTTGTCCCCTAAAGACCAGTGCCAGTACTTCTGCATTGCCCAGAGAGAAACAAAATGGAGTAAAAAGACACACAGGAGGACCTTCTAATGGCAACGGCGTCAGGTCCAGTCCAAAGACAGTATTTCTTCTTTAGGTGCACAGAGGCATCCCTGCATGAATGAAAGGGGAGGAGTCTTCATCTGTGTGGGGAATAGCTGTGCTGGAAGCACCACCAAAACAGAGGCCCACCCACAACTTCCAGAAGAGTAGGCACTCCTGGAATTGTGCAGCTTGAGACCAGTAACTGATCTGATTGTAGAGCAGATCCAGCTCTGGTTCCTGGGCTAGAGTTACGACGACTAACATCCTCATGCCAACACTGGGACCTTGCACTAAATTGTCTCAATGAAGAAATTCATAGGATGGGAACATTTTAAAATATATGTATTGGCCTTTTCCCTGTCATCAATGATCATAGAGCAGTGACTTTTTACTGCCATACAATGATGTGACTAGAGTACTCTGGAAGCGCAGCAAGCCCTATCATGGCTATGTTTGCTGAAAACTTTTATTTCCCTTTACGCCTCGCCAAATTAGTCTGTCTTATTTCTGCAGCTTTGAATTATTGTTAGTTTTATGGGGATTTTTTTAAAACATTGCTCTATGATTTGTAGTGTGTTTTCGATCCCGGCTTGGGTTTTCTTTTGCACAGTGTGGATTAGAAACTCTAGAATGAATGAATAACTAAATAAAAACTCAACCTTGGCTTAATGAGAGTAAATCATATTCATTAGCAGAAGGAATGCGTCATCATGTTCTTAAAATGACGCGCAATGCAACTCTGCATATGTCAAGGTTGGAAAAGTATGTCTAAAGGTATTTTCAAGTGCCTCTAGGAAACAGGCACAGATACTCTATCTAGCTCCATCTATACACTCCATAGGAAAAAAGAGCTTTGGGAAGACATCAAAGGCACAACAAAGCCGATTAACTGAAACAGAAAAATCCAGCGTCTCTGAAAGATCTGAGCTCTTGTGCAGTATATATTTTAACAGATGAGCAATCTTCCTTCAGTTGCCATTTTATTCTTCCCTTTTACGGAAGCTTATCAGATCTCACTGCTTGATTCCCTCAAATCTATTCATCTTTAAGACATGCTGTTAAGAGTAGCAAGCAACTGAGAAGAACTGAGCTGGAGATACTGGGGTACTGGTTCTTCTATCGAATGTATAATGTGATCAGATATGGATAGGAAATGAGGCTAGCTATGTATCATGTATACCCAGAATGATCTCAAGGATCTGAGTGTGGGTTCCTTTGTAGCCAAAATGTCATTATCCATGCACAAGCAGGAAGTAACAGCTGGCTTGGGGAAACTACCAGATTTGCAGGTGTAAAGGTGCAATATTTTTGTGGGGCAAGAGCACCAGAAGTAGAGGGTGCAGGAGAGACCCAAGCACAGCTCAATAAAGACTTAGCTTCCTCAGTGGCTACAGAATGCTGATTGATTGATTGATTGATTGATTGGGCTGGCAGGGGGAGGGGCAGAAGAGTGGAAGGGAGAAGCAATGGAGTATTCAGACAGGAGCATTCCACACTGCAGCATTTTGTTGCACCTTCTACCAATACTTGCATAACTTTGCATATAGAGTGTAAGCAACCATCATGTTCTCAGAACATTCACGTATTAGTTTAGAAAACGATGGCTCTGTTTCTGGCTAGCCGAACCAATCTACCAATTCAGTTCAGAGATTCGCTGATAGGTGGCCACGAATCCGACCAGTCTATGAAATGTTACAAACTGGGAGGAATTTTAAAAGGAGCCCAATGAGAGAGCCATGGTAAGACTTATTGAAATCCTTGTAACCTTTCAAACCTTAACAAGGGCTCCCACTGGTTGGCATCCTAACCTATACTTTGCATTATGGGAAAACCATTACAGCCTGTAGCATGATGCTGAATGTCAGAAGATTCATGGCAGATGAAAGAAATCACTTCTTTACACAGTGCATAATTAAACTGTAAAATTTAATCCTACAGGATGGAGTGATGGCCACCAACTTGGGTGGCTTTTTAGAAGGATTAGACCAATTCATGGAGAATAAGACCATCAAGAGCTACTAGCAACAGAAGCCATGCTCTGTCACCACTGTCAGAAGCAGAGTGCCCCTGAATACTATTTGCTGGAAATTACAAGTGCTGGGAGTACAGCTATACTCAAAGCTTCCTTGTGGGTTTTTCACAGACATCTGGCTGGCCTTTGGGAGAACAGGATGTTGAGCTAGATGAGCCATTGGGCTGATCCAGCAGACTCATCCTATGTTCTGACTTCCACATGTTGTTCACGTGGAAAAGAAAGCACACCAGAGCCATTCTTAAAATATTTCACAATCTATACTATCCATGGGCAACCTCACTTATGGGGCCACCTGGGCCCCTTTGTCCAGATCCCTTGATGGATGCTCAGACCACACTCCCTCCCCAAGCCATAGCTCTCATAGTCCCTGCTCCATGCTCTTTCCTGCCTGCAATGTGCCCTTGACCTGTGACCATGTCTCTTGCTTGCCTAGATGGAGGAAGCACATACAGGTGTATAAGTTCCTTCCTTCTGAATAGCAAGAATGTATCCTATGGTAAGAAGAGCCACATCTGTTGCACCATCCATTTTGGCCTCTGGCCACACCCATCACTGCCACGTCCCATGTTACTCAAGGCTATTGGAACACATCCCTTAGGCTACCAAAGATTTCCCACCCCGATTGAAGCAATGGAGATTTTGCATTTCTTACAAATTCCTTCTGAGAACACTGCTGCTGACCGGACTATAAATATTTTAAACAAAGACCAAAATAACAAAAGCCAGAAATAGATACAAGTAAATAAATAAACAGATTTGAGTTTCTTTGGTTGGTTTTTTAAAAAACGATCAAGTGGTATATAAATTATATTAAATAAACAAATGTCACTCGTGAAAGAAACAGATTGTGCTCCTGCAAATATCTTTTGCACTTTGCTGCTGTTGTCTACTCCCTGGCTGGCTGTACTAGAGGCAAAATTACACAAGGCACAAGTGTGTGGTTGCATATGTACTGTAAATAATAGGTAAAGGACCCCTGGACGGTTAAGACGGGCCAAAGGAAACTATGGGGTGCGGCACTCATCTCGCTTCAGGCCGAGGGAGCCTGCATTTCTCCACAGACAGCTTTCCAGGTCATGCAGCCAGCATGACTAAACCGATTCTGGTGCATGGAGGACTGTGACAAGTGCCAGGGCGCAAAGAAACACCGTTTACCTTCCTGCGGCAGCGGTACCTATTTATCTACTTGCACTGGTATGCTTTTGAACTGCCAGCTTGGCAGAAGCTGGGACAGAGAGCAATGGGAGCTCGTCGTGCGGACTCGAACTGCTGTCCTTCCAATTGGCAAGCCCAAGAGGTTCAGTGGTTTAGACCACAGTGCCACCCGCCTCCCTACCTTTACCTATACTTACTGTAGCACACACTAAAACTGCACTAATACTTCTGGGTCTTGACTTCTGTGGCCTGCTTTCCAAGACGGCTGTAGCTGTCATTCTGCAAGATCAGACACAGCAGTCAAAGTCTTCTGGATACGTGAGAAATTCTCCTGGGGAATTAAAAGGATAACCTGCATCAAGCACTAAAATTAAAAAAAAAATCATACCTAGTAATTACATCTTGTCCTTTAAATACTCTTTCAAGTGAATAAAACATGACATTGACATGGTTCTAACACTTTTTGGCTGCATCTAGAGGGTTTTCACTTCAGAGACGGCAAACAATAGGGTTAATTAGAAACATCTAACTCTCAAAATGCTGTTCCACAAGTTCAAAGCACCATTTCCTCTTCCACATCAAATCCTGTCACTCCCACACATACAAGCATACGGATAGTGGCACAGATTTTCCTTAAGAAAGCTAGCTGTTAAAAAAAAGGGGGGGGATATGGAAATATCGGGTAGGATGAAAGCCTTTCAAAGCAAACTATATTGAAGGAAATTGCATCTACTGCAACAATGCACATGCTGCAGGGTTTATATTGTGGCATGCCACCCCAATCTCTGAGCAGTGATTCCAGGGGTTCCAGGCACTTACCCAGGGATCCATTGCCCTGGAATGAGGGGCAGAGGAGACTGCAGTGTCTTTATAGTATATGGTTTATCTACACATATGTACAATCTGAGCCTATGATGGAGAGGCTCACAGCATTAACAGCCAATAAGGTCTTGCTTCTCCCACAGCCGCAGCCTAGGATTCAAACAGAAATCAAGCATGGCTCTCACTCTCTGGCTTCTACGCAAGCTCTCTCACATTTTTGGCTTTTATCCATCTCCTACCAGCCAGGTGAGGGAGGGGGCCCACCTCCATGTCCTATGGCAGAGAGGAAATCCCTTTCTTCTATTAACGACTCATACTTAGGGGGCACTGTGTCCCTTGCCTGGCTACATGAACAATGAGATCATTCATTTGACTTGCTGGATCCAGAGGTTTAGAAGGGCAGCGGGCATCATACAGTCTAACCCCACCCCACTGATGGGCGAAGCCAGGATTTTTGTTAGGGGGCAGGCTTTTGTTGGGGGGGGGGCAGAACCTCAGATTTGTATTGATTTGGAGGGGCAGTTCTCCCGGGGTTACTCCCATGACCCCACCCCAAAAAAACTCACAGCAATATTATTCTTACATTATTTCCTTTTTTTATTTCCCAAGATTTATACCGCGCTTGCCAGTAACCATACCTCAACCGCATCTTACTCCCCCCAAGTCCAACAAGAAAACAGACCACATGGTAACCTGCAAAAGGCAGGAGAGACGCCAGGTCTGGACGCGAATCGACAGACAAGCGGCGTGGCTTCTAAAAATAGTTTTAAAAAAAATAACCAAGGAAGAGCGAGGGATGAAACGGCCCTATCGGCGTTCCCGCCCCACCCAGACAGCCATCAGACGGCCACCGGGGCTCCTGCGCCCCCTCCTTCGGCTTCCTTCCTTCCTCCCATTATTATCGCAGGCGCCTCGGGGGTGCGCGCGCGTGTGTTTGTGTGCGTGCGCGGAGGGCGGTTGTAGTTGCGCGGCGCTTCCGCTAGGGGTCTCTGCGGAGGGCCGGCCTTGCTGCTGCCGCCGCCGCCGCTGCTTTGGGTGGGCTGGGATATCATCAGCTGACTCGCCTTTTCCTCGGCGGAGCTCGGCTGGTGCCGCTGCTGCAGCTCCCTTCCATTCCTCAGCAGCGCAGAGGCGGGGACGAGGAAGCCGAGCCGCCGGCTGGATTTCGCCGCTCTCCCTTCTCCAGCGGGAGCTTCCGCTCCTTCTCCGCCAACCGCGATGCTGCCGCATTTAGCCGGGCTGCTGCTCGCGGCCTCGTGGCTCGCCGACGCTTTGGAGGTAAGGCGGGCGCCGGGGGGGTGGGGTGGGAGACACGGCATAATGAAGGGGCGCGGGGTGGGGCTGCCCTCCCGGTTGTTGCTGCTGCTGCTGCCCTCCGGGATATGGGCTCCATGGGAGGGGGCGTCCCCGGCCCCCCGCCTGGACGGGGGTCTTTCTCCTCTCCCCGCCTGAACAATGGGCTCCGCCGAGAGGTGGGGCGGGGAGGTGGGACGCGCCGACTAGGAGCCTTCTTGGAGGGAGGGGGGTGCCCGGGTCGTGCGCCTCCTCGGTGCTGAATTTCGCGAGCGACAGTCTCCGGGAAGCTGGGAGGAGGAGGAGGGCGCCGCCGCCCCTCCCTCCCTCCCTCGAGGTGCGCCGTCTTGGCGATCCGCCTGCCGAGTGTTTGGCTTTGGCAGAGCCGCGATCGCGTCGCCTGGCCGCTGCGTGGCTTTTGTTGCCTTCCTGGAGAGAGAGAGATCCGGGTTGTCCGGTGTGGCGGACCTGGGGGTGGGGAACCGAACCGGGAAGGATGGGGGGAGGAGGAGAGAAAGAGACCCACCGCGGGGAAGATCGGGAGAGGAGACGGCAGGCATCCCGCTGCTTTCCCGCCTCTCCTGGTAGACAAGCCTCGTTTTTCTTCCTCCTCCTCCTCTTCTTTCTCTGCGCTCCAGTGCGGAAAACAAACGGCAGGCAGGCGGTTAAGGGCCATCCGTCTACCCAGCCGTCCATAGGGGAGAAGGGGGGGGGTCAAGTTTTTGGATCAGGTGCCTCTGAGTAACTTGAGAGCGGACGGCGGCTCCTGCGGAACAGCCGCCCCGTTTGCACAAGGGAGCCCCCCGCTTCCTAAAAAAGAAAGCAGAAGACAGCCTCCCCGCCCCGTCTGTTCCCACAGCTGGCACGACCTGCTTCTGGGAGCGAGCACCTTCCACTCTCCCCCGTCTCATTGATCCGAGAGCGCCTTGCAGACTTTGTTTGGATGCGAGAGAGAGAGGGGTGGGTGTGGGTGTCCTGGGGGGTGACTTCTCTCTCCCCCCTCCCGCCGTCTTGCGGGAGGAAATCGCCTTGGCCGCGCGTGTTTTTCAGAGGCACCTCCACGCGTTACAAGGAGGGGGGTGGACTCCTCTTAGGATGGGCGTTTAGGGAGCCGATGGAAAGGAAATGGGTTGGCGGGGAAGATTAAGAGCAAGAAGATGGCGCCTCTGCAGTGCAGCAAGGCAGCGCTGTAATAATGCGAGCTGCAGCCTGGAGCAACCCTCTCACCGCTAGGTGTTGGAAACAACTCTCCCTTCCCATTCATCTCACTGCCCGTCAGGCAGCCGCGGCTGGGTGCGACGTACTGGAGCCTGGGCACACGACTGGGCAGTGTAAAAGGGGGGGGGAGCTCTTCCCCTTCTTCCTTAAACTGGGGTCTGCCTTGTGCTTGGCTTGGCTGTCTGCTTTTCTTCTACTTGCGCTTTCAGAAAGAATCTGTTAGGTCCAGACATCATTCAGTGGTCGAGGCTGCGGTTTTGACCAGCCTGCTCCCCTCTTATTTTAAAGGTGGGGGAGATTAGGGGAGTGGCAGAAGACGCTCTAAATATGCCACACCTCTTTTGGAGACTGTTGGGGAAAGAATCTTGGATTTAATTTTTTGCTCATTAAAAATAATGTGCAAATCCCTGTATATGACAGTTCCTGAAGAGATAGGGAAAAGAAAAATACATTCACATAGAGTAAGGAGGAATACTGTTGCCTTTTTTTTTTTTTGACAGGGAGGGATGTTAGCCATTATCTCTTGATCTTCTTTGCTTGTTTTTGCAAACCTTTCTTCTTCTAGGCTAGCTGCCTCTCCTCCTTGCAATTCACAGTGCAGTTCTGTCTGCTTTTGCTCAGAAGTGAGCCTCCCAGGGTTCGATTGGACTTACTCTCAGGGTGTAGTCTGTAATCCTATGCTATGCAAGCCAAGTCTAAGTGAAATTATTGAGACTTGCGGTGGAATCCTAAACGTGCCTACTCCTAAGTAAGTCCCACTGAGTTCAGTGAGGCAAGGATTGCATCCTCAGTTCTGAGTCATTGTAAGAGTATTGTCTGTTTGCTTAATTAGAAGCATTTCTAAACTGCTTAATTCTTAGAATTTCTCAGTGCCACACAGAAATGGAACATTAAAAACAATAAAATATACCCTAAAAACAGATACTGTGCAGCATAAAAAACCTTATCTTAAAGCAGGAATTCAGTACTAGCAGGGCCCACTCTTATGGGTTAGGGAAAGCCTGTGCAAACTGATGGATGATACTTCACTTGTGTGGAGTGGGTGGAACATCTAGACAAAATGCAATCTGCAAAAGAGCAGCTAGGCAGAAATCCACTGATCCCTTTTTTTTAGCATTGGAGTCATAGCCTCATGTGTCACCTTTAAGATAGGAATGCCTTCGAGCATCTTCTGATTGCTATTTTTTTAAGGCGGGATGAGTTGCCTGCCTTTTCCAGGAGGAGTGCAATCCACCCCCAGGGCAACATGAGCAGTCACTGCAAGTCATTTGCCCAAACCTGCTTTCACAAACCTACAGTCAAGTCACTAAGCCACCAGAATAGCTCACAATTCAAATGTTTGTTTTACTCATAGAATTGTAGGGTTCTAAGGCACCCTGAGGGTCATCTACTCCAACCCTCTCAAATAAATCGTATCATTTGCACAGTGCGTTTTATTTATTTAATCTACTGACTCCGAAGTAGGATCAATGCCACGCAGCAAAGTGCCACTTCCTCTGCCGCAGCGTGAGCCACCTTTGTAAAAAGGACAAAATGGCGACTAGACTTTCTGTTTTTGCACCCATAGCCTAAGTTCCAGGAGCCATGTGGTGAATAGCTTTGCTATCCTAGTTTCTAACACCGATTCTAGTCCAGGTCCTGTTCTCCCAGGACCCCAGAACACAACAGCACTTTCCTCCACCTGTGGTTTCAGCAACTGGAAGTCACACTGCCTCCAAACCGTGGGGCTAGTAGCCTTTGAACATCAGGGCTAGTAGCCTTTGAAAGCCTTATCCTTCATGAATCTGCTCCTTTAATCCAAGTTGGTGGCTGGTTGTGAGAAACACACCCTGCCCCAGCACAAAGGTGTGCCGGTGGGTTAGGTTGCAGGGTCAGTCACTGCTGGCCTCAGAAATGGAGAGAACTGTTTTTTCCTGCCAGGGCTGTCTTGGAGAACCCTATTTTTACATGCCCCGGGATGAGCAGCTGTTTACAAGCTTCCTTCATATGTGACTGAGCCCATCTCTGGCATGTAAGGTCTGGCCCCAAGCATAACACTCTGTTGTACCTTGGTTCAAACTGAACCCTCAGCCATATTGTTACCCCTTTTCCATGGGTGAATAAGAATTAAGACAAAGGACACATCAGTCCCTCTCATGGTGAACTTGATGCCCTTGTACCAAGAGAAATGGAGCCAGAATAATGCCACTTTGAAACAAATTCAGAAGGCTCAAGGAAGCTCAGAGGTTTGCAGAAGTACCAGAGAAAAAAGTGAATTGGCTGGTTTGAGCCTTTGACAGCTTATAGGATCCTGGAGGAAGGCATGGCTACCTGGATGTCAACCGGGACAGAAGTAGTCCTGTTGGGAGTCTTTGTCCCTCTGGATATTATTGGACAACTCCCATCAGGACAGCAGGTAGCACAGCTACTGGTCAGGGATGATGGGAGTTGTATTATTATTACTATTATTAGTATTACAATTTATTACCCGCCCTTCACCCCGTGTTCCAAGAGTGGCTTACAACAATTAAAACACAACATTGTACTACAACATCTGGAGAGCCACACTTTCCCCAGGGGGAGAATTTACATTGCAACGTATTGTTGCACATCCCACTTGCTTTTCGTTTTACAAAATGAAACCATCCTGCTGTACTGAACTAATTTACATGGCCTTGTTCTGAAGAATGTCAGATTCATTAGGAAAGGATGGGTGTTGCGATGAACAATATTGTCTACAGTTGCAAAGCCGCCTCTGCTTTCAGTTATGGCCTTGGATAGATTTTCTTTTCACTCTCTCCCCCCACCTTCTGGCATCATTTGCTGCAAATTGTCAGATTTCAGTGTTAACCCATTTGGACATAATTAAATTGTCTTTGTGAAGCTCATTTTATAAAACAAAATTATGTGCTGAAGATGTTAATTACAACCTTAACTGAAGATTTATTATTTCTATTGAATGTTGAAATCATTCCAAGGCCAATGTTTACAAAGGAAGTTGCAACTCTTAGAATATAAGCTTGTAGAAAATAAAAATGCTTATTTAATTTCCAAACCTGAGGCTTGAGTATGGGACTTTTGTATAGGTATTGCTGAGTGCTTTCTTTCAGCCAAAATAAAACGTATTGTCTGTGGAAGCTGCTCAGGTTTGAGTTTTGGTGAGACTCAGGATTAGGGATAAAGACCTTGTGGGCCTCCAGATTTTAATGGATTACAAATTCCCTACCTTGTTTGAAATTTGCCACTTGACATCTCCACCATCCGGTGGTGCGTGCCTGGATCTTGCCTGTTTTCACATCCTGTAGAATTCTATGCATTATATTTTATCTGCACAATCAGAATGAATTTCAGGAACCAAAAAGTTGTATTGAAAAAATAAGACTTTCGAGCTGTCTGGCTCCCAGATGGCAACTAGGCATTGCATTTTGGTGACTGTGACCCTGGTTTAAGGAGCCATTTGGCGCCTAGCTTATAAATCTGAGTTTCTAACACTGCTTCCCTAGCTCCCAGCCAGCATGGTCAGTGGTCAGGGATGATATGAGCTGTAGTCCAACAATGTATGGGGAGCTGCAGGTTCCCTCCAGTGACTGAGAGTAGCTTGCTGCAGGAATGCCTCTTAAAATGCCTTTGGTGTTCATACAAGATATGTTATGCAGTGGTGTGCATTAGGTGATTATTTTTAAGATGCAGGATAGAATGATTTAAGTCACCAAGAGATAAAGGCCTTGGCCATTCTTTCTGCTACTCATGTGCCTGCAAATGAGTAGCAGAAAGAATAAAATAAAATGTTTATCAGTTATATGGTATAAGTACAGTATAAGTATTCAAACATGTTGACTAAGTAGAACTTTTGTACTAGCTAGCGGAGTGTTCTTTGTTACATATTTTAACAAACTGAATACATGACCATATTTCTTACAGTTTTATGAAATGGGGCCTTGTACTTTGCTTATTGAATAGGAAAGTTACAGGTTGACACAACAAATAAACTTGGCTACAGACGTGAAGTGCATCAGTTTTATTTGCTCGGCAACAATAGCTGTAGTATAGCAACATTTTGCCTGTTGGGTTTTTAATGTTTTTTTGATGAGCCTGATGGTTTTAATATTGTAATATAAAACCAGACTCAATATCCAAATATGCAGCTAGTCATCAGTATTGTGACTGTATGCAACTGTTTGTGTCCAAATGATACACTTTCTTTTGTTTACTACAAAATTGGTGGTTTCTATTTTCAACTTTTAATTTTTCCTGCTTCTCGGATGTCAGAAACTAAAATACATGTTCTTTGGTAGTATAGGGTTGCAGAAGTCCAAAGTTTGCTATTTCTAGCACTGGGTATATTTGCTGGCACAATGCTAAATACAGTTTTTTGTGGTCTAAAACTAAAATCCCATGGCCAACAATCAGGAATCTGTACTCCTTTCTCTTACCCTTTTATATGTGACTTCCTACTCCAGTTCATTTTTATATATCCCAGGTCACAAAGGCTATAGTTACTGACCTGAACGTTCCAGCAAACTATGGTTAGTGCTAAGCAGGAAACAGGAGGAAGTTGCATGTGAGGGGAAGAGGGAACAGACAAACCTTTGCTTGTTTCCAATTTTACAAACCATGGTTTGGACGATTGCATAAATAGAACCCATAACATATCCATAATCCTCAGGACAGCTTGGTTGTATTCAACAGAACTGACTGATTTCAAGATGGACCAAAGACATTGCTGGTTTGTTTTTACTTCTTGTTCAGGACATGCAAAAGTCACTCTTCCCTATCTTTCACTATCTGTTCCTAATTGTATAATTTGCACTCTGAATAATCTTGCTATCTATGGGTCTTGCTCTTAAATTGACTCTGAGTGCCTGTGTATGTGGTCATGTTCCTCATAGTATTCCTCATGAAATACTTTACGTACATTTACTACTGCCTCGGGTTGCAGGACTATATAGTTACATCTGACGACATGTTGATACAGGTCTATGTTATGTGGTCATCAGTTGTGGTTTTCTTGATTCCTATTTGCCCTGACTGAAGCCTGGTGCCCATACCCTGATTCCACATGTTGATATCCCAGACCCCAGAGGTCAGGCGTAGGCTGAGAATCTGCTGTGCGTTTGGGAACTAGCTGTCTGTGCCAGTCAAGTCTGTGTGGTGACTTGTTAGCATTCAGAGATGGCAGTGTGATTCATTGGTTATGTTCAAAGGCTGGACAGGCGGTGCTCAGCTTATTTCTTTTCTTCAGAACAATACCTAGAAAAAAAGAGTTCTGTATAACATTGAAA